AGCTCCAGGAGTAGAAGTCAACACCATTAAAAGGTACTGTTGTTGTTGTTGTTGTTGTTGTTGTTGTTGTTGTTGTTGTTGTTGTTGTTGTTGTTGTTGTTGCTGCTGTTGTTGTTGTTGTTGTTGTTGTTGTTGTTGTTGTTGTTGTTGTTGTTGTTGTTGTTGTTGTTGTTGTTGTTGTTGTTGTTGTTGTTGTTGTTGTTGTTGTTGTTGTTGTTGTTGTTATTGCTGCTGCTGTTGTTGCTGTTGCTGTTGCTGTACTTGCTGTGGTTGCTGATACTGCTGTTGTTGTTGCTGAGTAGGGGAACGACCGAAGATATAGAAAGGATGCTGAAACTGTTGCGACTGCGGCTGCTGTACGAAAGGTGAGAAAGCGAACGAACCAGTACTTGGAGCTGTAGCTCCACGCATGTAACTTGAGCCGTCAAGGCTCATTCCACTGAACGCATATGAAATCGATTGCGTTGAAACTGGTGGATGTACCGACGCTTGTTGCTGTGCTGTTGTTTGTGATTGTTGCTGTTGCGCTGTAGGTGTAGTCGATGGAGCACCTGGAGTATTCACAGAAGGCGGATTCTGCATTAGCATAGGCTGGTGGAAAGTGCCCAGAGGCTGAGAGACCAGCGGCGGTAGTGGAGGCATATGCTCCAGTAGTCCCAGTAACTGATCCAGCAGATGGTGCTGGTGATGAACCAGTCATAGTTGACGGTAGTCTTAATTCCAGATAGCTCTCATACCATGAAATAAAACGTATGGTGTTGCAGTAGACTAAGTATAAAACTGCAAACACGAACACTTGGCAAATCCTCAAGTGTTGGTCCAGGATCTTTGCTGGAATGGTAGACTAGTAAGACAACGGAAGTCTTGTAAAATGTAAAGGTCAAGGTTGAATGACCTGAGTACGTGAACTTGTGAGTAATCAAAGTTAATAATGAAAAGACCTAACAAGTATTTATAGTTCTACGAAAAGTACCTATTCGCTAATGTACCTGTTCGTCACTAACGCGCTATGCGCCCTAGATGATAATGAAGAGGTGCGACTGTTCGCGTGACTGAAACGACTGTCCTATGACGAGCGCTATTTGCTGACGTCATCCTACGAACTTATCTTCTACAGTTTGATTCGACACTAACTACACTTAATCGACTTACAGAAATGCTAAGTATCGATTATATCACAACAGGAACATGCTCTTAGGTATATGCCATAAGAGAGTACAACCCACTAGGTAAAAGTACTCAGTACTCATCTTTCTAAAACATCTCGCTACTCTGAGAAGTGCTTGCATCAAACAATGCTGCTGGAGGTGGGGTCATTGAGTTGAGAGCCTTCAGTTCAGTACCGTACTCGATATGTACAGAGTGCAATACACATGGTGACATGATCAAAGTTACATTTCGGAAAACGTAAGGCGCAGTGCACAGTGGCTGACATGCGCAACGTTGTACCGTAAGAGCGTGTTCCTACAGCCTCTTCCCACATCCACCCCATTTCGAGACTCGTGGTGCACTGCACTGAACTGCATTGAATCAATTCGCGTCAAATTGCTCTGTACAGTAGCTCACGCGTTTGGGAAGGGGCGAGTCTGGGTAGAGGCCGCAGGAACACGCCCAAACACCTGAGGGGCTCTGTCAGCCGAGTATCACATGCCAGCACGATAGTTACATTTGAGACAGGGCCAAGCACAGGGCGCCATCGCTGACATGAGCAACACTGTAACACTTGAGGGACTCGGCCATCCGAGTGGCGAGCAAGTGCTTGCACTGGGGAGCCAAAAGGGAAATTGAAGGGGGGAAAGGGGAAAAATGATTCAAATGCTTTACTCTTGAGGCATCTCAATACATTGAAACATTCAAGAGACTCCGCTAATTGAGTAGCGAGCAAGTGGTTTCACAGGGGAGCACCAAGGGGACATGGATCGGGGATACAGGGAATGTGGTACTAGGCGATGAGGAAATCAAGGGAACGTCAAGACGCCCAATGCCACTCACCATGATCTATTCACTGGGAGAGACTGTGTCGTAGAAGAACGACTGGCAGAGGCAGTAGTGGCGTGAGGCAGCAGGACGTGAAAGGACAAGGATTTGCTGTGTTTTTTTTATAAAGCGCAGAGACGCTACAGTATACACCATATCACACGCACCATGAGCTGTTCGTTTCGAGACACGGCATCATAGAAGAACGACTGGCAGGGGCAGTAGTGGTGTGGCAGACAAATGTGAAAGGCAGAGCTCCTGGGGTTCCCACGAACCTGCAAGGAGGTCAACAGGGGTATAGATAATTTAGGCGCCTGAAAAAAGGGCAGCAGTGGCGTGACAGACAGATTTGGAAGGCAGAGCTCCTGGGGTTTCTGGGAACCTGCAAGGAGGTCAGCAGTGGGATAGATTTTTAGGTGCCTGAAAAATGGGCGGTAGTGGTGCGGCAGACAGATGTGGAAGACACAGCTCCTGGAATTCCTCTGAGCCTGCAAGGAGGTCAAGAATGGCAGGCTGAAATGAGCAGGCTAACACAAATAATATAACCGTTTTCTTACCTGAAATGAGCAGGCTGAAGATTGAGATGCCTCGGAATTCAATTTACTCGCAAAAAAAGAATGATCAAGCTGGAGCCATTTAAGCAATAAATTTTATCACCTGAAATGCACATCTGCCACTGAGATGTGCGATCAGCTTCGTCACACAGCCATGGTCCAGGATTGCTAAGGCCCGGTCCAGCTGACATGTGGATAAGACCCTCACACGCAGAGAGCCTTACCAGGAATGCGCTCCTGCCACTGGGATGCGCGATCAGCTTGGTCACATTGCCATGGTCCAAAATGGCCAAGGCTCGGTCCAGCTGAGACTGGAACAGAACCCGCAAGCTGATCGTATATAGGCAAGGAGAGGAAAAAGGCTAAAAATCAGAAAGACGCCAGGAAAGGATTTTGTCCAGCTGAGACTGAAATAGAACCCGCAAACTGAGCAATGCAGGGAGATGGATGAGAAGGGTTTAATCAGAGAGGAGGGAAGGGCGACAAATCCCAGCTGAGACTGAAACAGAACCCTCAAACTGATGGCATAAAGGCAGGGCGAGGAAAAACGGATTGAATTCAGAAAGATACTAGGAGAGGATTTGTCCAGCTGGGAGACTGAGACGATGTTGAAATGAGTGGTCAGAAGAAAGACACTGATGAAGTCTTTGTTCTGACCAGTGAACAAGGACACGATGTTAAAAAAGGACTGGAAGAGTGTGGAGAAGGGAGCGAGAAAGGGAACAGCGGAACCGATGAAGTGAAATGCAGCAGATGCAGGAGGGCTGGAGAAGGCAGGCGGAATGCACGTGGTCAAGCTGATTTTCTGGAAATTTTTTAAATAACGAATCAAAGAAAGAGAAGGCTATGGATAAATTCTGACTGAGTGCATCACTTATGACGGAAACTGCTTGACAGAAAGTGTAACGAAGAGGATGTGTGTGCCTTGGAGTTTTGAGTCAACTCAAAACACACGAAAGTGTAACGAAGAGGATGTGTGTGCCTTGGAGTTTTTTTGTCCGAGGCGAAAGATCGTGTGTATCCCACGTTGTGTGTGGTGTGTTGAAGAAATCGCGTGTGTTCTGACTGATGGGGTTTGAGACTCACCATCCCAGGCTGCAATCAGAAACTGCACAAGGAGCCGATGGAAGGAGAGGGAGTAAGGGAGAGAGAAGGGAGGGAGGGAAGAGAAAATTAGAGGCGTTTGGAGCGAAAACAAGAGGAAAAAAAATGCCAGACCTCAGAGTCGGATGCCTGTGAACCGACATAAGGAAGGGAGACCAGTGGCACAGAAATGCACACCCGGAACAATCTTTGAGAATTCTAAAGAACAAGCTGAAGCTCAACCAGTGGGTTTTTTAGGCGGTTTTTTTTTTTTTTTGTGCCTCAAAAATCACCCCCGGAAATCGTTGAGAATTCTCAAAAACAAGCTGATGGGTTTTTTTAGGAAATCATTCAAACCTCTCACACGGGCCTGTGGGAGGGAGATCAGTGGAACAGAAGTGCAGATCAAAACGGCTGGCTGACCTATGGGAACCCAAACCACCAATCAGAACAAGAGATTCTCCATGCAGATCCACTCTCTGATACCGAGCCCGTCCTCGAGCCTGCATACCGAGCCTTGCCGCCGTCGCTGCACTGATCGTTGACTCGCTCTCGCCGCTCGACACGCCTTTCGGTTCCTGGGTTGCCCTTCCCTCCATATCTCGGCCATCACTGGTTCCGTCCCTTGCTTCCCTGGCTCTCCTTCCCCCAGCATCTATCGATCCGTCCCTCGCATCAGTGCTTCCGTCCCTGACTCTCGGTTCGCTGGTGAGTCTAGTAGCCGCGAATTGGTCTGTAAGGTCGCGGAAGAGAGCTTCAGTTAGAACGGCTAGCGGCGGCACCGGGAGTGGAATTTCCGTGAAAGCTGCGGAGCGAGAGATAGAGGGAGGAGGCTGGTCCGAGTTTGCCGCCATCATGGAAAATCGTTCAGGATTCCTCTTGTCAAAAGCTCGAATACTAGCGGCGTGAATGCTGCTGAAACAACAGTCAATGCGGCTCTAATAACCTTCGTCTTTTCAAATCCGCGACGATTGGACGGTTCGGCGGATGGGATTTGAATTCTGTAACGCCCCTCTCTCAAGTCTCAGGAGCCATGGCATAACTGGCAGAATCTAGGAAGCAGGGAGGGCGTGTAAGGGCAAGTCATCCGCGTTTATCTTGCGCACCCATACGTGAACTGGAAAGACGGATTTCAGTTCATATTTTAGGGTAACTGACCTGTAACAAAGATACAGTAAATATATATTTTGACGGGCGAGGGTCGCACTTCCATTTAGCAAGCCTGCACACGTTCAAGCCAAAATTTCCGAGAAACTTTTTGAGTTCATGACACTTGGAAGGAAACTTGGTACACACTCGACATGGTACAGAATAGGCCCCATTAGCCTTAGGGATACATCAGAAACGTTTTTCTGACGTAGACGCACTTGGACTAGTTCAGCTGTGCCGTCGTTGCTGTGCGATCAGCTTTTACGTACCGATCTGCTAGGGGAGTGTAGAAACGGCAAAATCCGAAATACCATTGCTAGTTGACAAGCCGGAGGAGCGGATACTGCTCACGCCCATTGCACGGCGGTCCCTAGAATCGCCGACATGCAGAATTCTTGCGAGACATCGACCGGCGGATCTTCTCCTATCGACCGTCTACCTAACGATCTTCTATCGTCAGCTGACGCATCTCCGGCAGTCGACCGTTTATCGGACGACCTCCTGTGTTCCATTCTCCGACTATCTGCCGTCAACGGCTCTCCCCCCTTCCGCCTCTCGCTCGTGTGCAAGCGATGGCTTCGCCTCGCGTATATCATCCAGACTTCCTTACCCGGCACGTTCTTCGCATCTATCACGCAGAAACCCTCTCCTCCTGCTTTTGACTCGATCCGAAAACAAACTCCTCTGAGTCAGGCTCCTCTTTGTCTTCAACTTTCCCATCGTCTCTCGAGAGGAACCAGCGGGAATGGCGGCGAGATTGTGAACCATGGTGGCGGCGGGAGTGGTGGTGAAAGTGCAAACGTTAGCCGCATCGGTAGCAGCAGTAGCAGCAACGAGGGTATTTCCAGGAGCAGCAGTAGCAGCAGTCGCCGAGTCAACTACATCAGCCTTGACCGACCTAGTAAAATAACTTACCTCCTTAAATCCCTCGCTAAGTTCCCGCATCTCACTGGCCTTGCCACGTCACCCCACTGCCTAGAAGCCTACCAAGGAAGCTTCCTCACCAACCTCCCTCTCTCCTGCCCCAGCCTAACCTCCATCTCCTTCGGTCCCCTCACATCTCCACATCAGTCCATTACCGAATCAGATCTTAACGGATTTTTCCAGGCGTTCAAGTCGCAACTGAGGGAGGTGTACCTGGACGGATGCATCAATAAAATCACAATCATGCCGTCTTCCCTTACAGTCATCTCTTCCCTTCGTTTACTGTACATTCAGTCCAGCTGCCTGTTGGAATTGCCCGAGGATTTGAGCCCTCTAAGCTGCTTACAGGAGCTATCCCTCCAGTGCTGGAAACTTTTATGTCTGCCCGAATCTGTCGGGCAGCTTTCCTCCCTGACGAAGCTGGACCTGGTTTGTTGCTCCAGTCTTCCTCAGCTGCCCGAATCTCTCACCCAGCTGCCCGCTCTCACCACCCTTGACGTCTCCCACTGCTCCAATCTGTTTGACCTGCCCCAGAATTTCGGGCGGATGAAAGCTTTGCGAGATTTCAAGCTATCCGGGGGATCGTTTTCGACTGACGTGCCCGAATCTTTCTGCAGGCTGCCCGATCTTCGCAAGCTTGAGTTGCGGCATGCCTATTGGCTGGACGCCCTTCCATCCTCAATCTCCGCCCTCCAGAATATCCGATCCATAGACCTGAGCATCTGCAATTGGCTCAAGAATCTACCCGAGGAAACCGGGCAGCTGCAGAAATTAGAGGAGCTGAGGCTGACCGACTGCCTAAAGATCAACCGGCTTCCGGACTCCCTCTGCTCACTGCCCAACCTGAAGGTTCTGTCTCTCCAAAAGTGCTTCAGTATAGAGTATCTCCCTGCAGCGTTAGGAGACATCTCCTCCTTGACCCATCTCGAGCTCTGCAAACTAGCCAAGCTAACCACTGTACCCTCATCAGCACAAGATCTCCTGAACCTGGAGGTTCTTATATTGAAGGGGTGCAAATCCCTCGCAAGTGTGCCGAGGCTGCTGCTGCAGCAGCCGCGTTTGAAGCACCTTGTGTTGAATCACATTGAGTGCCTGGACCAGTTGTTACTTGACATGGGCGCTATGGCTGTTCCTGCTGCCACGTCATCTGCTAATGCTGCCTCTTCTGCTGCTGCTGGTGCTGCTGCTGCGGCTGATGCTGCTGGTGCTGCTGCTGCGGCTGATGCTGCTGCTGCTGCTGCTGCTGCAGCTGGTGCTGCTGCTTCAGATCTTCTGCCGAGTGTGGCCCCTGCCGGAGTTTCTCCCCCTGCAGCCTTTGCTGCAGGTTCCCCCAATGCTGCTGCCACTCCTGCTGCTGCTGCTTACCATACCCCAGCATCCCATCCCAGCCGTCCGCCTCTCCTCCTCCCCTCTTCCCTCACTCACATGGAGCTTGCACGCAACACCACCGTCGCATCTCTACCCCGCTCCTTCTCCCGCCTCTCTAACCTCCACACCCTCTCCGTCCGTCGATTCTCCGGCCTCTTCTCTCTCTTGCCCGACCCAATCACAGCATGCCAGCTGGCAAGGCTGCAGGAATTGAGGCTGGCGTTTTGCAAGAAGCTGACTCACCTCCCTCCCTCGCTGCACCTCCTCCTCCCCTCCCTCACCCATCTCGTTCTCTTCAGCTGCACCGCCCTTTCTTCGCTGCCCAAGGATCTCGGTCAGCTGGAAAATCTTTCTTACCTGGAGCTGTCTCGCTGTGTGGGAATGACCACGCTACCAGATTCTCTATGCAGGTCACCGTCCCTTGAGCAACTCATTATTTCCACCTGCCCAAAAATCTCTTCTCTGCCCGCAAACCTCGGGCAGCTGCCATCGCTAAAAAAACTCTCTCTGGACAACTGCAAGGCGGTAACCAGCCTGCCCGGGTCTTTAGTCCACGCACCGTCTCTCACCTACCTCTTGGTTTCGGGATGTGGGGGATTGGCAGCGCTGCCAGAGGACCTGGGTGCGATGGAGTCGCTGGAAGTACTGATTGTGCGATGCTGCGATGGTGTTCAAGAGTTGCCTGCCTCTCTGGCTCAAGCTCGGAGGCTCAAAAGGGTGGATTTCAGGATATGAGTGGGACTTCAGTTTATGCACCGATTGGCAGCGCTGCCAGAGGACCTGGGTGCGATGGAGTCGCTGGAAGTACTGATTGTGCGATGCTGCGATGGCGTTCAAGAGTTGCCTGCCTCTCTGGCTCAAGCTCGGAGGCTCAAAAGGGTGGATTTCAGGATATGAGTGGGACTTCAGTTTATGCACCGATTGGCAGCGCTGCCAGAGGACCTGGGTTCGATGGAGTCGCTGGAAGTACTGGTTGTGCGATGCTGCAATGGCTTTCAGGCGTTGCCTACCTCACTGGCTCAAGCTAGGAGGCTCAGAAGGGTGGATTTGAGGTGTCAAAATATATTTTGTATATGTTATAGGCTAGATAGGTGCATGCTCATAGAGGGTGCATGCTTAGCTTATATCCCTTGTACCCCATCTTTCTAATCACTCATAAACACTGAGATGGTATCTTGCGCTAGGTTGGGTCCTCCCCACCCACCCGCACTTCCGCTCTAGTCCTAGCCCTAGCCGCCCGTCGCTAGCCGCCCGTTCCTAGCCGCCCGTCGCTAGTCACCGCTGGCCGCCCGTCGCCTTGTGCTGCCCGTAGCCGCCAGCCGCCTGTAGCCGCTGGCTGCCCGTAGCCGCCAGCCGACCATAGCCGCCAGCCGCTCGCCGGCCCCTACTCGCTAGCCCCGCGCTCGCCAGTCTCGCGCCCGCTGGCCCCGTTCTCGCTGGCCCCGCGCTCGCCAGCCCCACACTCACCAGCCCCGCGCTTTCTGGCCCCGTTCTCGCCAGCCCCGCGCCCGCTGGCCCCGTTCTCCCTGGCCCCGCTCTCGCCGGCCCCACGCTCGCCAGGCCCACGCCCGCCAGCACCGTGCTTGCTGGCCCCCGCGCTTGCTGGCCCCGGCTCGCCAGCCCCGCACCCGCTGGCCCCGCACTCGCTCGACCCGCACCCGCCAGTCCCGTGCTCGCTGGCCCCTAGCTTGCTGGCCCCGCGCTCGCCGGCCCCTAGCTCGCCGGCCCCCAGCTCCACCGGCCCCAGATCCAGTGGCACCAGCTCCGCCGTCCACAGCCCGCGCCGGCCCCGCGCCATCCAGTCGACGAGCCGCAGTTTCGCCGTGACGCCATGTCGCTGCGCCACCAAGCCGCTCTGCCGCCCCGACCTACCGGCCTTGGCTCCCTTCTGAACCGGAGCTCCTGCCGGCTGTCTCCACCGCTCTCCATTGCGCTCCACCGCACTCCACCGCTCTCCACTGCTCTCCACTTCTCTTCACCGCACTCCACCACTCTCCACCATTCTCCACCGCCCTCCGCCGCTTTCCTCCCCCCCCTCTAGCGGCAGTCAGCTGCTGCAGCCATGGTAATGGCGGACTTTGTGCTCCGCCTGGACGCGGAGGGTTGGGCGGCTGACTTTGAGGCATGGCTCGTCCACCTCCGCTGCCAGCTGACAGGTCAGCACCAGGATGGCTACTCCCTGGCCGTCCACGTCGACGGTAAGCTCCCCTGTCCCTCCGTACCTGCTGAGCGTAAGGCCTTTGCTGCTGCTGACCTTGCACGCTTTGTCTGGGAGTCGCGCGACGCAGTCGCACAGCTTGCCATTATTCACGCTCTTCCCCTGTCTGAGCGTCCCCGCTTTATAGCAGTAGCCAATGCGAAAGAATACTTAGATGCAGTCATAGCGCGCTATTACACTCCCTCCTCCGCCTCTGCCGGCTGCCTGATCTTCCCCATGCTCTTTCCTGATCTTGCTTCCTTCCCCACTGTCACTGATCTGGCTGCTCATCTGCGCGCCCTTGAGACTAGCTACCGCGCTGCTAGCACTGAGGCCCAGCTCACTGCTTTCCCGCCGCCACTTTGTGCTACCCTTTACCTCATTGCCATGCGCCTCCCTGACCGCCTTGCCACTTCCCGCGACCCTTCCTTAGTCAGCACCCAGGTGACCTCACCCTTACTGCCTTTGTCACCGTCCTGTCCGCGATAGAGACCCGCCAGCGCACTATCGCTCAGTCTAGCGTATTGCAGCAGTCCCTATCTTCCAGGGATGTGCTCCCTCTCAGTGCACTTACTCTGATGTCTCTGCCGCTGACGCTGAGATAGCCCCTACTTCTGAGACTGCCACCGCGACCTCATCGTAGCTGCATCAGGGTAGGGGCCGCCGCCCCAAGGGAGGGCGTGGCGGAGGAAAGGGTAGCGGGGGTGGTGGGGGTGGTGGGGGTGGCGGAGGTGGAGGCGGTGGTGCCGGGGACGGTGGTGCAGACGTGGGGACCAGGGCCGATGCCCCGGAGCAACAGCAGCAGCAATGTGAGAGTACGACCCCGTTACACCAATTTCCCATTTTCATATTTCCTTTCTATTTCGTTCCTCGTTTTATCCTGATTCATTTGGTCTTTATCTCACCTCATTTGGTTTCCTATTCCTCATTTTCCATTCTCCTTTGGTTTATCCTATTATTATACTTATATCACCGACCAGGCTCGGGATGTACTAGCACGCTATATCTAGCGTAATCCTGCCAGAATCCTTTAAAGCCAATAGCCTCGCGTAACTATACGCAGGATGATTCTATTACTAGAAGGGTCTATTTCCTTTGGATAGGATTAACCTGGTTACTTGATGTACTGTGGAAGTATAAAAGCACCTTGTACTCATGGATCATGCAACATTGAGCAAACCTCATTCAATCCTGTGACACTTGGTAATCAGAGCCAAAGGTTTCAGCTCAACGCTTAAAGCCCGACCGGTAGGTTGCACTTTGCCACTGTTGAGGTAGGTGGGCCGGCAGAATGTGATTGGCTGACGAGATATAAAAGGGGCGAAATTGTTTCTGCGAAACTTTGCCTTCATCCGGTTAGTCATTGTCGCGGGAGCCCTAGGGGCTACGAAACCTGGCAGAGGTGTCAGGTTGGAGCCCAGTCGACTGGCAGGGGGTTCACCTCCGCCTCTCTGCCATGTTGCAACGGCATATTCCGTGCCTGCGCTTTTTGCGGAAACAACCTACACTTTTGTTTTATTAGGTCCAGTTGAAGAAAAAAACCGAACTCGAATTCCCGCCCCCGTCAAGCTCGCACTTGAGCAATCAATCACACTTTAACGCACACTGTAAAACCGCCAGAAATTCAAACACTAGACGGTTGATTACATTTCGAGAAAACTCGGTGTTTTCTAACCTCGATACTTGGCAGGGACGCCAGCCTGCAAAGTTTGTCAAAGCACAGAGTTGAGGCGTTGGAATCTCGTCAACCACTGCTGCGGGTAGAGTAAGTTTCATGTCCTCAAGATGCATCACCTTGAGAAGAAAAGAGTTGCAACCTACCGGTCGGGCTTTAACCCGCAGGGCCCCCAGGAGCACGCCGAGGATGGAGTCGAAACTTTAGTTTCTTTAAGTACAATGCTCTTTCATTTTAAGTTTCGACTAACCTTGCGCAGCTGCACCTGGGGTCCCCTACGAAGGCGAGATGCCTCGCCGACCGTTCGATGGACTGCATCGACGGTGCCGATTTTTTCGAGGGGCAAACGGCTTGACCTCGCGAATGCGTCAATTCTGGCGGAGCTCTCCCTGCGTCAGTTCGCCATGACGCTTGGAGTTGCGCCAAAATGTGCAGAGCTGTGATCAACGACATCCGTCCGATGGAGATTCGACGCTTCAGATCGACCGATGCGAAACAAAATTATTATGAGTAAGATTGAGCTTCAGCGCTGATAGGAATGGGACCTTGCCAGAGGCGAAGTTCTTTGGAGCGTCCGATCGTTCGGCAGCCGACATCGACGACCAAAAATTGCTGCAAAAAATGAGGCGACCCTGACATCGAAAGCTGCTGAACGCAACTCATGAATATTTTCAGATAGCTTGGAGTTTGGACCGTCGGATCGGCTTCTGCTTCAACGGTCGAGATGGAGCGCAAGTTCTACGAAAAGAGAGAATGATGCGCAGAACAGAGATCCAACCACCGTCAACACCGTTGATATCAGCAGGACAACCAAATTCGAATTCCTCCCTTTGGTCATGAATTTGGTGCGCAAACCATCTGCAGAGTCAGAAATCTGCCATAGAATTACCTACTTGGTAATAGCTGCAAGGAGAAAACTGACAGGAGAATGTGGATCGTCGGATCGGTGCGGAAGCAACAACACGAATGCAGCGGAGACTACACTATGAAATAGCATCACAATGGAGACAACATTCATGACCAGCGAATGCACATCGACGCATCTTCTGACTAGTGTCGATAACGATCTACTTATGTTTACGAAGTTATCTTCGTTAATAATGGATTGACATCAACACAGCGGATCTTCACCGAGGAAAAACAATGAAGCTACGTGAAGACATGTTCTCCATCCACAAGACACTTCTTCACATAAATTGATCGACAAGCTATGGGATTGCAGAGATGTAGCCGTTTTCTCTTGCAATGCTCCCTACTTCAAGTTGCTGCGAAGGAGCAGATTTTGTATGCAACCACTACGCAGTGAACCCGTATCATCAAGGCCAGCGAGACACTACTTTGTAACAGGAGCTGGTCGATTCGTCTTCATCAAGAATCTCAGCCATCCGAAGTGATTGATTGAAACAGTCTTAACATCAACCTCACGAGGCGACACACCTATCATGCGTCTCGATTCGAGGTGATAATGACCTGAGTAGAAAATTCTCCGTGCATGTCATGATGCTTGACAGATTGAGGAGTAATTAACCTCTAATCTGGCAAATACTCGTTCACTAGCGCCTCTATGGCACATGCATTGGCGGCGATTCTACCAGAAGTCGAAGCGATACAACTAGACATGGGCACAAGCCGAGCCACACCTGGCTCGGCTCGGCTCGGCTCATCTTTAAGGCGAGCTGAGCCTCTTTTTTTTGTGCTCGACTCGAGTCGAGCCGAGCCGGCTCGGCTTGACTCGAGCCGGCGGCTCGGCTCGGCTCGCGCATGCGAAACCAGGCGAGCCGGAGTCGAGCCGGCTTGAGATGGCTCGATTTCGAGCCAGCTGGCTCGCGGTTCGGATAAGGGGGGGTTTCGCGACAGTCAAATTTCAAATCGATAAACCTTCCCAAGCCCATTTCGTCAACCAACCCTAACCTAACCATGTCGCTCTAGTCTATCGCCCTAGTATTTTGCCCTCAGCCAGAACCATTCAAACTTGCAGCACCTTGTGCTATTTTTTAAAGACGTAAGTGCTATTATAATTAGGGCCACCAAGGCCTTGGCGCGATAGCCCTAGGCACGCCATCGAGGCCTTGGCTCGTGGTATGCGCACGATAGGGTTTAGGCTTGGGCGTGCGTCCATTTAGGCCTAGTCCTGCGATGCTGAAGGTTGTAGGGCGCTCGGTAACGCTAGATTAGGGCGCGCGATTACAAAAGTTAAGCGCACGCATTTGGGAAGGGCGGGGGGGGCGATCTTGCGCATGGCAAAGACCAAGGCAACAGCGGCTAGGCAAGGGGGGCC